GGCAGCCTGTCAACTGGGGCTTAAATTTAGCTCTGCTAATGAATCTGAGCTGCTAACTGTTATTTCTTAAGATAATAAGACTCTCAGGAAAGCTGGGGCGGGAGTTGGGGGGGGGGGAGAGGAAGGGTGGAAACTGTAGCATGTCTTTCTGCTGTTTTACTACTTAAATATTTTCCAACAATGAAGATGGTTTTCCTAAAGAAAAAAAAAAAAAACATGAGAGAAGTCTGTGCAAATAAATGGGTAGTAAACATCTCGCTTAATAACTACTAGGTTTCCAGACTATGGGGCTGGAGCGCTGAGCACAGACTATATTGAGTGCCTTGCTTTAGAAAAAGATATGCTCATTTAAACTGGACCATTTCAGTGACAGGTTAACTGTAAAATTCTCTCTCTCTCTCTCTCTCTCTCTCTCTCTCTCTCTCTCTCTCTCTCTCTCTCTCTCTCTCTCCCTGAATGAGGTGGTTCATTCATTTGATATATCAATTCACCTGGGGTGCAGAAGCCTTAGAGTAGTGCCCCTTTTAGCAGAGTGAAAAGGTAGGGCATCTTCTGAAAGGGTTTCACAGGGCTCCCATGTCACTGTTTCTGAAACCGAGTGGCTGGTGTCCCTGGGGAGGCTGTGACCTCTTCCTCGGGAGCTCAGGGGAGGGGCCGGGGAAAAGAATTCTTTTATTTTTCTAAGAACTTAAAAGAACTGACTAAAACAGCTAGGTCCAAATATTCCGCAAAGAAAGACTCACTCCATATAGAAGACTTTATATGTCCTGCTGAACGCAGAAATTAGGACCCGTTCAAAGAAAAGAATAATTAGAAGCTAAAAGAGGTAAATTCCACTATGCACTATTTTCCACCAGCAATAAATAAATGAATAAATAACTACCCCCCCCTCCTCCCTCCGCACAGTGGTCTCTCTCCTCTCACCATCTATTTGGTGTTAAGGACACTTGATTTATGGGGAGAGGGAATCTTCCCCAGTGAACACAGGAGGGCCAGACCGTCTCTAGGATTTGCTCTGATGGCACAGAGAGACCCTGACCTTTTCACGGGTTGGCTGGAAGGTAAGTAAGCTGTACCGCACGCACAGTATTTTCCAGTTAATCAAACTTTTTCCCCTCCCGAAGAGTTTAGCTGTCCGACGTTGAAAACCAGAGTGCCGCTTTCTCAGGCTGTGAAAGGCGGCCACCATTGGACTGAAATTTCAATCCACCCTTGTGCCCCGCTCAATGCATGTGTATGTGTGGGAGTTGTAAATTGAGGCCCTAACTACCAGAGTTAATCTCTTTTTAAAATCTGTATTAACCTTAATGATTTGAAGTGCACTGTCCAACACTAGGCTATTGAGACGGGAGAAAAAAACGACCCTCGATGATCCGCAGTTTATTGGGGGCTTAGCTGAAGTGACCCACTGTAGTGGTGCTCAGCGGAACAAGGCTGTGGGCTTTCTGTGGCGAGGGGAAGAATTGAGGGCTTCATTAAAAAGTAATTTGTGCTTTATGCGCACTCATTCAAAGGGTCTCAATTGCTCTTTATTCGCACAGAGTTAATACAGTATCACAATGTTTCTCAATGAATGTGTGGTGACAAAAGAAAAATTTCACATTTTGAAAGGGGAAAATTCTTTGGAAGTGTGGTAAGATGGATGGCTACTTAAAAGATTATAGCCTCTCTCTTTCCCGTGTTCATGTGAAATGATGAAATACTGTAAGTTAAAATCGTTTAAATTATGGGCGTTTAACTTCATCACTTTTGGATCACTAAAATTTTTTTAAAATACAGCAAAGTTGCTCAAATCTAAGTGTGTCTTGTTCAACATGTCTATAAAAAAAAGTTCTGAAGCCAGAGGAGCATCTAATAGTAATATAGCTTCATTTCAATCAGAAAAGACTCTTCACTCAGCACAGAATTATCAGTGATTTTAAATCTCCCCTCTCCATCCATAGTACTCCTAAATGGATGCTAATTTGCAGATTTGAAGACAGCACCATTGATTCCCTTTAAAAAAAAAAAAAAGTTGCTGAATATCTTGGAGAGCCTGACTATGATTATCCATGGAGATGCACAACACATTATTAAAGAACTTCTTTGAACAAGTGAGAGATGAAGTATAAAGGAGCTTATTTGTGCCTCAACCTTAATGATAAAAGACCTGGAAGGATCAGTATATGTATACAAATCTTTATCGTTTTCAGAAGGATTATTTTAAAAATTGGTATTGCATTCAGATATTTCTGACGTAAATATATACTCCTCAGTTTCTGCCCCCATCACAAATGTCATAAAGACCACAAAAGGTCCGAGAGTGAGCAAGGTCAAAGACTGAATTATCCTCTTGTCCCTGAATAGTTCAACATCTCTCTTGTTCAATTCAGAGCACGTTAAATTATAAGGTCAGTGTGGAATGAGAAATCATGAGATTTATATCCCTAAAACTGGACGGGGGAAAAATGAAGAATATGTTATTTAGCATTCCCCAAATTAACGTTTATTTTATCAGATAAAAATTATGTCTCACTGAATCCCGAGGAAGAAGGCTATTGTTATTCCCATTCATTTACATATTAGGACATTACAACCATTGGAAAGAGATGTATCTTTTTTCTCAGCATTGAAAGAATATATTTTAATCTTCATAGTAGCATATAGGCTGACTGGGTTAGCATAGTGTGCATATTCATGAGTTTTGAAAGTAATGACAGCTTCTCTCCAAGAAAAACAAATTATACAATTGCATGCAACCTGTGTAATGGGCAGGTATCTAAGCATGTAAAGTAAATGGAACCTGAAATTTTCTATAATAAATTATTCTGCCTGCTATAAATGTTCAGTAATAGTTCAGATCACTTAGGTGCCCTCTGACATACTGATTACCTAGGCTTTTCTCTCTACAGATGGTCTCAGCTAACACTGGGAGAAAAGTGAAGGTGTGCCGAAACCGGTTTGGCTCAGTGGATAGAGCATCAGCCTGCAGACTGAAAGATCCCAGGTTCGATTCTGGCAAGGGCATGTACCTTGGTTGAGGGCACATCCCCAGTAGGGAGTGTGCAGGAGGCAGCTGAATTGATGTTTCTCTTTCATTGATGTTTCTAACTTTCCCTCTCTTTTCCTCTCTAAGAAATCAATAAAAATATATTTTAAAAAGAAAAGTGAAAGTGTCTCCCAAGAGACAATGTCACTGCCCTGAATTCTTGAATCTACCTGGGAATCGCAGGCTAGGCGAAACCTCCCTGGAGTAAAAGCAATACTGTGTTCCTGTTCCAGTCATCAAGTTAATGTCCAAAGGGAACAGAAGAAGAGTAGTTAGCCAATCATCTATTGTTGACTATTAGCTCTGGTAATATATGCAGCATAGTAATAATAAAAAAGAAATCATTGTGTCCAGATTAATTTGATTTCAACCACATCAGAGACAAAAAAGAAAATGAATAAACTTGGCATTCACTAATTATTTAGTACCAGGAGCCACTAATTATTTAGTACTCAACATATATCCAGAAAGATGACAAACTACCTTTTTTTCTCCTGCTATTTTTAGGTAGGCCTATTTTGAAAGAATATTTGATAACTGTTATTATCTTCTGGCCTACAAATAAGTTGGCAATTACCTCTTTAAAGAAACTGTGAACTCCCAACATTTTAATTTTTATCACACATTAGTCACTTGAAAATATGCAAATATGAAGTTATTTAAATATTGCTGTTTTTTTTTAGCAGAAATCTGCTATTTTAGTTTTAAGGCATGTGATCTTTTAATTAGATTTTTTATTTGATGAATTAAAGAAGAGTTCCAGTCAATAGGTAATGGATTTCTAAGCCTTTAGATAGTAAGAGAGTCATTTCTCCACTTCAAATGAGTCAGCTACTGTTTTAGGGTCAACTGGCTACATATACAATGGTAAGCATATTTCACAAATAAGTGCATACTTACTTTCAAAAAACAGTTTAATTTGGACAAAAATTGGTCAAGTCAGTCCTATTTATTATCTATTTTGAGATGGATAATTTAAGAAATGGGCCAGGACCAGTTTGGCTCAGTGGATAGAGCGTCGGCCTGCGGACTGAGGGGTTCCAGGTTCGATTCCGGTCAAGGGCATGTGCCTCAGTTGCAGGCACATCCCCAGTGGAGGTGTGCAGGAGGCAGCTGATCGATGTCCCTCTCTCATCGATGTTTCTAACTCTCTGTCCCTCTCCCTTCCTCTCTGTAAAAAAATCAAAATATATTAAAAAAAAGAAAGAAATGGTATAATTATCCCCAAATCCTGTGATAACTAAGCAATTAATGAATGATCATATACTTGCAAATCCAAAACAATGCTTTAATTCTGAAAATGATAAAATAATTATCATTAGCCAATTAATATTTTATAGAAACAGCAATACCCAAATCAGAAAGCTTTGAGAGAGAAAACTAATTTTGGCATTTTCACAGTAGTATTTCTTGTTTTAAAATATCTACTATAGAAAAATGTAGATGCTTAGCTTAGCTCCAAAATTATCTCTGGAATGTGCTAAGGAATTTGGGCAACTAAGAAATTTGATCAGCAATCCAAATACCAAGAGTTCATACCAAGTAATTGAGTATTATTCATCTAAACTTTTCAATGAACTATGCAATGACTATCATGCATGTTTGTGTTAATGCTATGGTATCATCTTAGGTGATACCTCCTAAGAGAAGATACAGCATTACTCCAAGGAAAATCCAGCTGATTGAACTTTGAAGAAGAAAACAATTCAAAAATTATTTTATTGTTTATATTTTAACATATCACCCTTATTTTTAAAAGCACTGGCAATATAAAAACTGGTGGCTAGCAAATCTTTGTAAGATCAACCCTGAAACCTTATATTATCTACTTTGATGGCCCAACCAGGTAAACTGGAGAGTTCAGTCATTAAATGCCACAGACCCTGCATGTTGCTTGATAACTAACTATATCTACGTTTATATCATCCATATTTGTATATACACACAACAGGGTAATCGCATCCTTTCTTACCTGTCACATCAGCAGCCATTAATCCTTCTGCTCTGATTACTTTCACCTGGAGAAACCCCACATCTTTCAGGTTGTGAAATATCCGCAGTGGGCTCTGAAAGACCCCAACATCAGTGTTAGAAGAGAAAGGTGTGTTCTGAGAAAATAGTAAGTTTTATGGTTGATTTCAGGATGCCTCTTAAGTGACTCAAAGGATATTGGTTTCTTCAATACAGACTACCCTTCCACCATTATGAATGTGTACATACACATGCATGCATGCATGCACAAAGATTTAAAACCCACAACATTTCTTCCCCCCAAATAATTATCAGTAGATGCTGAATAATAAATTATAAAATAGGATATGACTGCTTTTTTCCCTTTGATCTCCTTTACCAAAGCTTCTTATGAGTATGATGGTTTGGAGACTCCCACTTCTTCATATTGAATCTCAAATTGTTGGTTATATACTACTTCAGACTTTGGGAGTAAGAAAGTCAACACTAATTATATTTTCTACTATTTTCTTCTTAATGAGCATTGGAAATTGCATGTGCTAAATGAAGGTTAAATTATTGAAAGACTTTTCTATATTTAATTTAAAAGACTTAGTTAGGTATTCTGTAAGCCTTGTAGGTAGAAGACATATAATCTTCAAAAATAAATCAAATTGGACCTGCCTTTGTGGCTCTGTTGGTTGAGTATTGTCCTGTGCAAGGAAGGATTGCCTGAGAGGGCACATACCTGGGGTTTGTTATCGGTACCTGAGGCAGCCATTGATGTTTCTCTCTCCTATAGATATTTCTCTCTTTCCCTCCTCCATCCTCTTTCTCTAAAATCAATTTAAAAACACACATTTATAAAAATAAATAAAACTGACCAATAAAAAGTGATGAGTAATTTTTCTTAAATTTGCAATTTTATTTACGATGGTAGTATGTATGGAACTAGAAGTAGAAAAGGTGTGATAGAATCAGACCCAGATGATAAAAACTATTAAATTTCATAAATTAATAATGGCAGTGTTTTAATAAGTATAGTACTGGGAGGAATTAAAAGAGGGATACCAAAGCAATAATTCATAACTCTAAATAATGGGCACGAATACTTAGAGAGTAAAATAAACCTATTGAACTTTATATGCATTTGTTTATTTGCAAATTATAGCATTTTTCTTATGCCAAGATCAGCATTTCTACTCAGTAAATTAAAGGTATTTCTTTATCATAATCTTTAAAATGCTTTATGACCAGGGAACATAGCATACTTTTGCATTCAACTTAGCTATTCAAATGTTACCAAAGAACGTTTGCATCCTGTATTAAGCATGTGAGAATACTGAGAAGCAAAGCTGACTGCGACATTAACTTTATCAGTCCCCTTTGACTGGTGGTTGTTTACACAGAGCTGTGACCTTGGCACTCTTAGAGGAGGAAATGCAGATATGTGTGCAATCTCATAACCCAACTTTTTTTTTTTTTTAAAGGTGTTTAGCCCAAGGATCAGCTCTTAATCTTTTATTGTTTTTTAAATGGCTGTTTATCTACCAAAACTGTTTGAGCTACCGGATAACAGGGTTCAATAAAAAGCTATTTCCCTCCCCATTGAAATTACTGTAAACCAAGGCTCTAACGTGGGAACCATAGACAGCAGTACTAGAATTCAGAGGTTTGTAGGCATGGTCTTCCTAAGGCAGGAACGATTAGGTTTGGGAAGCTTATCTCGGAGCTGACTGAGAGCTCTAAGCCAGGTAAGCCTCCTGTCCTAAGAACAGGGAAGAGTTTTCTGAGAAGTTCCTGTTCTTTAATTTTCAGAAGCAATTTGAACCAGCCTTCCTGTGACTAACACAAACATCAGTCCTCAGATCTGAGAATCGCTTCGCACCGCTAACCTCACTGCACAGACGCACGGCTGCGGGTGCTCGGGCTCGGTGTTCTGCTCCCCTTTAGGAGAGGTAATTGCCGTTTGTGGGTTTCATTCCCTTGAATCAGCTGATGCTCAGTCATTTTTTGTGAACTTCAGCTGCTTAGGCTAGTGACATATCGATTATGATAAGAATTCAAAAAAAAAAAAAAAAAAAGAAAGAAAGAAAGAAAAAAAGAAAGAAAGCCAAAGACTGAAATGTTCCAGCTAAAAAAATATATATATATATATATATATATATATATATATAAAACAACTTTAAGTAATACTTCATTCAAGAGGTATTCCTGCCTTGTTATTTATGGTTATTTTAGAAGGCTTCAAAACCGAGATGGCTTCTGAAGCCAGACATTTCCATAGCAGAGGAATGTATGATTTGCTGTGAATCCTTTCAGCCCTCAATAGATGGGAAAAGATTGAAATGCTCAGGAGAGGAGTCCTCTTTATTTTTTTAATGAAAGGCTGTATAATATATTTTCTCTATGGCTGCAGCAGCTGTCAGGGAGAGCATCTCAGTTCAGCTCTATTACGGGAGAGGCAATACCCCGTCCTATGGCGTCGCGGTGCTCTGAGGGGCCGGGGCTGATTGACAGCTTGTCACCGTGACGTCTTATTCCATCTCTGTTATGGAGAAAATTAATGTCACACCACCAGCCTTATGACTCGCTGTCATCTTAGAACCGCTCACCTTTTATCAATGCTCTAAATAACATTTCAAGCCCATCGTCTCACGGTGGACAATCTGGTCAAGGGACATTAAATCAGATGACTGTGAAATGTCATAATAAAAATGGAATGCTAACAACTTCTTCTCTAAACTAGCTCCTCTGGTTTTTAAACTGTGACAAGGGGGAGCAAGGGTTCAGCATACCCGTTCTGAAAAGGTCAGGCAATCGCTCTTGGTCTACCACCCATTACTACTCGCCCCCTATTGACCTTCTCTGCTTTCCTCCCCCCAAAAGAAGGGGTTGGGGGGAGAGAAAAATGGAATTAGCCATCTTTTCAGAATGTGGTGATCAAATAATGGCTCACACAGTAATGTCCGTTTAATTTGTGGGGCTTCAGTGCCCCGCAATGAACCGCTGACTGACAGCACTGGAAAGCCTTTGCAGGGTCCTTCATAGGAGAGGGGGCCAGTTCACTTATTCTCCTGATCACCACCGAATTCTTAAGTCTAACCTAAACTTCCCAAAATGCACATGTTCTCACAGGAAAACATCTCAATAATCTTTCAAATAACCTTCTGTATATGTTACTCTAAAACAAGTGATAGTTCAGATATATGAAACAACATTCATGCATCCATCTCATAATCTATATTAAAAAAGGAAACACATTGAAACCTTAAAATATAGGGTTTTGCTCCTGTATTGCTATGGCTAATTATAACATATGAGCTATTGCATACAGTGGCTTTTTGGCAAGTATGACTGTAGAGGCAGATAAAGGCCTATGCTTGAAATTCAGGGTTAAAAAAAAAAAGTATGTATAAATGTGGTTCACTTTTTAATATAATGAGCAGAATATAATCTGAGAATTAGCTGGAACATCCTCATAACATTTACATTTTATTAAAATAATAACATTTGAAAAAAGGTGTGAACAAATATTCAAATTCTGAATGGAAATAGCCAATTTAAGGAAACCCATCCAGCAAAATGAAAAAAAAAAAAAGTTGGATTATTTCTAATTATCTAGCCTGCAGTATTATTCTAAAATATGGCATAGTACCAAATATTAATTTGAGAAATATAGCATTATAATACCTAGAATAATTTTATATTAGCACATATATGAATTAATTCCCTTAAATTGTTTTAATACACAAGGCTCTCTTCTGCTGACAGCAGACTATGTTTTGGTAGGTACCAAAATATGAAACAATTTTCGTAATTGCAATTACGTATTAGAAGATGGCTCACAATACCTTAGGCTCTTAGGTGGTTGAAAAATATATACTATTTAGCCTTGCTAAGTCACCTCCATTAAACTGTTTATGAGGACACCCCTGGAGGATGAGTTGTACAAGCATTAGCAGACAGCTGATTCAGTGGAGATAGCCAGAATAAATTTGCTGAAGTGCACAGCCTGCTAATCTGTTTGAAGAATATTGTAGAGCATTAGTACCAGCACTTCATGTTATCTGCACAGCCTGATAAGGTACATCTTTATTAAATTCAGTTATTGAAAGGATGTCAGTCAGCAAATAGGAATATTTTAAAATCTGGAAAAAAATATTACGAGGTCCTTTGTTAGTCAGAGCTTGGTTTCATAGCTGACTGTGTAGAGGAGCCTTCTAAACACCTGGCAGCATCGTACAATACAAGCTTTGTCATTTTTAAGTGGGAAAGCTTTTCCCCCAGTTTCATGGGTACTGAGGTATTCACTTTTCCAGTCTCCACTGAGAGAATGGTGGAGTAAGAGCTCCCCTCTCTGTTGATTCCGGAAAACTACATGTAGAGTGGGAAAGGTAGAATGTGAGGATGCTGGGAAAGAGAGGCAGATTTGGTTGAGAATGTTTCGGTTTGGTAAAAATTGAGAAGGGTACTTATTTTAGTGACTCACTCTTCCAATATATCTCTCTTCACTTGATTAAAAGGCAAGGAGGCATCCTTTTGATTATATTTCATATTCAATTAAAAAAGTAAAGGAACAAGTGAGGCTTTGCTAGACAGTTGAAAATAAAAATGATTTCTCTGAATACCCTCTAGTGACCAAGCTATTCATTAATGTAAGTGCCGTTGACTCCATTTCAAAGTTGGAAAGACAAAGAAATATGGATTGCAATGACAAAAAGTCAATGAATTAATTTTAAATTAATATTGTGTAAGTTTAACTTTCCTTGATGGGAAGTTCCCGGCATGGTAATCGTACTGTCTGATAAAATCACTGAGGAGACCCTCAGAATCTAGACCTTGCTCTGGAAGAGGCTCTAGACATCAGTGGGGAATGCAAAGATAAGCATGGCAATTGCATTTGCCCGATTTTCTGCACCTGCTGATTGATCTGTCATACAGCTTTTCAGCTGTACTTCCGTCACTCCAGGTAAATTATTTATAACCTCACTAGTCACACATGGTTCGAGGGGGGAGGGTTACATACGTACATATCTTTTTAATATTTCATCCCGTTCTTTCTGGTCCTCCAGGGAGTTGACAGGGAGGTCAGAGATGCTGACTGTGGCTGAGGCTGTCAGGGTGACCAGCAGCACCAGGTGCCCCTCACCCTCTTCCAGCTGCAATTCCAATTTGTGAGTCTGTTCCCTGCTGAGGACCGACAGGTCGACCTGGCACCTGGAGACAAATGTTTTGAATTAGCAAGTGGCTTTCAACCCCTCCTCCCCCTTTACCCCCATCAAACAGTGGAAGTTCAGGCTGCTCACAGCAATGTGAAAAGTAAATCAATAGAAACAGTATTTGGATCATTGGAAGAATATATCCCTCATGTCAGCTGACTTTCTTCACAAAATTCAGCCCCTGATTATCTTAGGGTCTAATTGCTGATTTCCTGGTAGATACAAAAATGGGCTTATCTGATTCACTTACTGCCCATGGCCACCATACTCATAAATGGTCAGGGACTTCCAGTTCCTGGATGGCCTAGGTCAGTGGGGCTTTGCTTACAGAAAGGCTACTGTGAGTCTGAATTTTTGTATCACCTTCAAACCAATGGGTGTTTTTCCCCTCATTTTTAAATGTAATATATAAAGCAATGATTAGAATATGCACTCTCGTGATGCCATAAGTTTTACATTTTTAAAACCATGCCAATTTATTCATAGAGCATTTATAAAACTAAATAAAAAGCAAACAAATCCTCTGAAGACATCAAGAATTATGTAGCAGAACTGTCCTGGGAGGTTTCACAATGTGGCAGCCCATGGACCAAAAGCCACTCTCAGAGATAAACACCTTGCAAGCTCTTTTCATAAAAAGGAAAATTGATTTGAAAGAGAAAGATACTGTGGAAACTACAAGGCCAGTAAATGGAGAGAAAGGGGGCAGATATGAATAAAAGGCATTTAAAACAGGAAATAGCCAGTGACAAGAATCAATGTGGTAATATATAAACAGGATGGTCAGCTATCAGGGACAAATTGAATTTTTGGTCATTCTCTTCACTTTATTTATTGTTCATTGTTTTGCTTTTAAATTAAACTATTATGAATAGGGCCTCAAAGCTCATAGCTGTGCTCAAACATCTTTTTAAGCATGACTGATTTTAGGAATTGAATCCAAAGTTTGACATTTACCCTTTCTTTTTGCCTATCAAAAGTGACAGCAGAGATAATCAGGACTAGAAACAATTGGGAGGAAGAGGAATATGGATGCAAGAAATGGAAAAAAAAAAGAGAGAAAAAGAAGAAAAGAAACACTCTGGTCAGTGACAGAAAAATGTGTGCGCGCTAAATGCTGACTATGGAAAAAGCAGAAAATTAGAGTCCATGGCAAGTCTGAAAAATATCTTCTTAAAGTTAGAATATATATCAAACAACCTCATTGCTTCTGTAAATACAACATCCTTTTTCAATATACTCTCATGCTCTCTTTTAAATTCTAAAGGATGAAAGGACATATCAAATGCTATCTAATATTCTAATTTAAAATTATTTTATTTTTGACTTGGGAGAGAAGGAGGAAGACACACACACACACACACACACACACACACACACACACACAGAGAGAGAGAAATATCAATTTGTAGTTCCACTTATTTATGCATTTACTGGTTGGTTCTTGTACGTGCCCTGACCAGGGAGCTAACTCACAACACTGGTGTATCAGGACGATGCTCTACCAACTGAGCTACCCAGTCAGGACTCTGATATTCTCATTTTAATTGCAGTTAAGTTCTGGCCAATGACACCCAAAACAAATTGAGCATAAAAGAAATGCAATGGAAAAAACAGCCAGTCAAATGCATTCTCCACTAAAAGAAAAACATCAACACCATTTTCTATAAATCTTTCCAGTATCCAGTTCAGTGCCTAGCCTGTAATTTGTTGAATGTGAATAAATCTTTGGACAAGATTAGGAATATGATATTAAAGAACTGAACAGAAATTACAATTCAGATAGTATTTTTGGTTGGATAAAGTTGGTATCAAGAAGGGTCTCTCACTCACTTTGATCACGCATTTCCCAGTCCTTGCCTTCTCCTTTGGTGAGACACTGTATTCCTCTTAAAACACAAAACACATTGAAGCTTTCAGGGGGTTTCCTTCTATGCCTATTCCCATTTCACATGAGTCATATAGATGCTGGGCTACTCCTCGTTTCTGCTGGAGTTTTTGCCTTTAATACTTTAGAGTCAAGGAAGATGTTTTAAAGGTAATCTGACCCAGCCATCACAAATGGGCAACTTTCAGACCAAATCTGGTCCAGGGATTTGTTGGGTTTTCCCTATAGCATTAAACTTTTGAAGTTAAATAATTTTTAAGACAGAGTAAATGTCCTCTGACTTAGTTACTGTTCCCCAAACTGTCATTATTTATAACTGGCCTACTACACTTAATTCTGTACTTTGTTCAAATAGATATAAGGATTTGTGGTCCTTGAAATCTCCTGAATTTACCAAGAAAAAAAACCGAGCGCCAGAGAAGTCATAGTCAGCTATTAGCAGAGCCAAGACCTGAACTTGGGATTCTAGAATCCAAGATCTAGGCTTTTTTTTTTCTTTTCTTTTTTCTTGACCAGTCTGTCATTAAGTAATCATGCACCCTTAGGAGGAAGTGTGTGCTGCTTGCAGTGGTTCTTTAATTGTGTAATACCTGGATTCATTTTAGACAGACCAATTATCTCAGTTCTAAAGTATGGAACTATGTAATTTTTATGCTTTAAATATATATAAGCTAGGAAAACAAGCTGTAAGTTATTGCTCTTATAAGATAATAAAGTAAGAAAAATCTACAAATTGAATTATTAAAGCTCTGAAACCAATAATATTTAAATTAGCATTATAATTTATAAGGAGGATTATGCTTTTCTGCTACAACTACATTTTCTATATTGAGTATACTCATAAAAATAATCTCAGGTTCTGTCCCATATTTAATGTTTCAGAATTTTGACTTTAATCCTTCTGATACAGAAAATATCTATTTCTACAAATACATTGGACAAAAGAGTATTAATGACTTCAAGGTATTTTTTGCTATTTGAGGTTATGCATATCTCCTATTCATCTAAAAAAAAAAATGTGCTCAGGAGAAATGCTCTGATGCGATTCTAAGCGAAATTCTCTACCTTGCCTGACCACAGGTGGCCAAGTAGGTGTGTTATCAGCTGTGTCTCTAAAACCCAGGAAACAATGGCCAGCCCAGTAACATATCACCCTACATTCCTTCTACTCTTCCCTGCTTCACATTTTCTCCTCTCACTCTGTGGCTGGACTCTATCTCTCCATTAAGTATTAGAACTTAATCACTGCCTCAAACCCTGTTTATAAAGAACACGGGCTAGGCAAAAACCATTGGTGCCATTCAATCCCCTTAGCTACAGATGTCTAACATGCAAACCTGCTCCAGTCCCTCCCCCGGCTTCCTTCCTCTTGTGAAATATCCTTAGCAAGGTAACAGTGCCCTCCACAGCCTGCCATCAGCTTGTGTGGCACTTGCTGACTTGCTCCTTAAGCCATTCCAGACAGCTTGCAATTCTTTCACCATCCATGCTAGGGCTCAATGGTTTCTTTGTATTTGAACAAGACAACTGTTCTAGCTATCTTGGCTTCATTAACGTTTACTAATTCTCATTTCAATAACCTGCAGTTGTCTTCTCCTGTCAATATCCCAAGACACCTTGAGGGTAGGCACCTAGCATAGCACCTGGAACATAGTTGGTGCTCTGTAAGTATCAAAGTACTTATACACAAGAAGGTGAAATTGCAGAGAATCTAATTTACCCAGGGCAGAGTGGCAGGGTAGAACGGGCATTTAATGCACTCACTTTACCACTCCTATATTGTCTTCCTAGAAAGATTTCTTTCCAACACTTATTTCACTCACTCATTCTCTCACTACTTATTAAGTACTTGAGGTGTCAGGTCTCTGTTAGTTTTAGGGAATCAGTTTTTTGTAAGCCTTCTAGTTTCTCACATCCTAATTTTCAGAACTACCACAGAGTGTGTTGTAATTTTATCATGTATGCCTTATTAGTTTGATATTGAAAAATTATAAAACTTACTATCTATACTGAACCCAACTTATCAATTAATCAATCAATAGAAGAACTGAAACAAAGTCGAAACTGAAGATCCCAGAGCTACTGTAATCTGTAATCATAAATGGGGAAATTGAGACTTAGAGAGATTAAGTGATGGCAAGAAATCAAGCTACATTTCCTTTCTCCCATAGAAAAACGTAAAGTTCTTTGCACTTTAAAAGAAAACAAAAAACACAAAAAACACTATGCATTTATTTAGCCACATGAATATTTATTTGGTGACATATTCCCCTATGAGTCCAAGGAGACAAATTTCAGTATTTCTATCACCTTTTTCCTCCCCTGTCATTTTTTCTGCCATGCACGAGCTCATGGCCGATGATATTCCTATCAGATACAATAGTCTTGTGCAACCAGGATGCTAATTACATGTGTGACATCACTGGGGTGCAGGTGATACCATTGTAATTAGCTAGTTATTAATAACTAGAGGCCTGGTGCACAAAATTGGTGCACTCAGGGATTGGGTGGGGCTCTCTCAGCTTGGCCTGTGCCCTCTTGCAGTCTGGGAGCCCTCGGGGGATGTCTGACTGCCAGCCTAGGCTCAGGAGCAGGCCTAAGCTGTCAGTCAGACATCCTTAGTGCTGCAGAGGCGGCAGAGGCTGCTGCCATGCAGCTGTGCTCACCAGCTGTGAGCCCAGCTTCTGGCTGAGCGGCGCTCTCTCTATGGAGGAAGCTCCTGCATTGAGCATCTGCCCCCTAGTGGCCAGTGCACATCATAGTGACCAGTCATTTTGCCATTTGGTCGATTTGCATTTTAGGGTTTTATTATATAGGATAGGAAAGGAGCAGAGGGGGCAGACAAACATTATACACATATCCTTTGGGCTGCTTCCTCAGGAAGCTGCAACTTTGCACTCCCCAGGGAACAACTGGCCTATTCCCAGCAGTAAAGCACTGGGAGAAGGGATCCAACAGAAGGAAGATGGACACATGCCCAGTAAAGTTGGAGTGACATAGGGAAGCTTCTTTTCCATCAGTCACACCTGAGAACAAAGATCATTGGCCAGAATGGACATGGCCACTGCAAGCACATGGAAAGTTGGGATTGCATAATCTCCTAAACAAAG